GGTTTAATTGACTTTCTACAGCTTATCTCCATTATCACCAATCAAGAGGTTGCCCTGCACTTTAATGTAGATGTCCACTTCCTGCTCAGCACACGTGAAATTGATGGCTAACCGTCCGGAACCCATGGCCTGTAAATCCAAATGTCACTCCCACTTTTGCATATGACCGCTGTAATTAGCTGGATTCCATTCACGAGGCATGAGGGAGATAGCAGTCAGGAAGCATTTGCCTTATATGTATTTCCTGACAGCGTATGGAGGGAATCTTAAGCAGACTGTGGTCAGACACATCTCATTTATTCAGGGTTATCGTGGGTATATATTGTGAATAATTTACACCTGCGGTATGCAACAACATTCAACAGCTCTAACTCACTCTATGCCAGTGAAATAACGGTTTTAGTGCACAGTATTTTTGGGATAACAAAGTAAAGGAGCTCTGGGTTTAGGCCTTTTCAGTGGTTCTTAACACTAGGACCGCCGTGCTCTAAACATACCTTGCACCGCCCCCTGCGGTCAGTTGACCGCTATGTATTTTGCGCTGATACAGCCTTTTGCCAAATTGATTGTTCACTAAACCAGAACTTGATGTTGCAAAGGAATCGTGATCATAATGAAACTGTGTAAATTATTTGTCTAAATATGCTAAGTAATTGTAATTCTAGCCGAAATAAAAGACTAAGACGACACATTGTGCGTGTACTGATCCATCAAAATTACGATGACTTTTCTGGCTAGATTTATTTTTGTAACTTTGCAAACACCTAAAAGGTTGGTCACTATATGTTATATTTGACTCAGTAACAATATGTAAATTCAAACAATATAAATTATAGTTTAGAAAAGCACGGGACCATAACGTCTTCGCGCTGCTATATGCGTCTACTTCTTACGTCATCTCCAGACTGTTTTCTCTTTAGAGGCCGAAATCACCGTGGGAAATATTATCTAGATAATAATAATAGTATTCGTATTGACACAAGATCATCAGCTATGGCTACCATCGTCAATTTAAAATCTTCAATTTTACACGGGACACGTTAGAAAGACAAATATATGCATATATATATTTGTATTTATTTGAGACAAGCAGTGCTCTTTATGCTCAGAACAAAATTATAATCATTGCCTTGCAGTGCGCGCTGTGCAGAATAACACACAGTGTTATCTGGATGAAATCAGAATTATATCCTTATTGATATATGAGGGCCGCCTCTGCCACAGTCGCTCTCCTCCTGCAGTGTCCGCGGGTGACGAGCACTCTGATCTGCACTCTGCCTTGATAGTTCATCTAATTGTTCTATTTTATTGCGATATTGTATTCTGTTTTATTGCCTTCTTGTATGTATAAATATAATAATGTAATTGATGATGAATGAAAAGGCAGAATGGAGCGACAGCGCGCACACAGACACTGCGTATGGCTGGCATTACGAGGGTCATGTGAGTTATTGCTTCTGGACTTGTTACAACACTGCTGTCTGTGCCGTGAATGCACTATGGGTTTACGTTCAGATTTAGAATATTATAGGTGTTCTCCCCGCTGTCACTTTCTGCCTCAAAATGTGACATCTCACCTCCGTCAGACTGTTCTCATTCAATGTTTTGAAGCACTGTCAGGGCTTCATACCGTGTACTTGCAGCTCTATTCATTTTGTACTCCTCTCTCTCCCAAATAATAATAAAAAAGTCCCTTTAGAGTCTAATGACAACATATTGATACATTTTTATAAGGCGCGAAAAACCCCCGGGAAAGGTTACTATGACAACAGTCGCCCCTGCGCCATGTATCTCTATGGGGCAGCAGAAAGGGCTGTGGTTTAGAAAAGTTAAAAATGCGTGTAAATCTTGTTTTCTTTACTTTTTCCAAAACCAAAACACACCAAAATATAAACCACAAGTACCCAGTAAAAGTCATAAAATTTCAACTTCTGGCGTTTTGTTTTGAATACACTAATTAGCATAATAAAGTGAGTGACGGTCAGTTGACCGCTAGGGGCGCTCCTAGTGTTAAACAATGGATTGATGGATTATTATTGCACAATTGCTTTGCACTTTTAGATAGATGGATAGATAGATGGATTGGTATGTTATACATTCCACAAGGGGACATTTTTGTGATCATCAGTACCTGATACAGACAAAACAGATGGGAGACATCTAAATACAATTATAAATAAAACTATCTATTTTCTAAACATATAACATAGGATGAGACCCCCCGAGGTTCATCAGCTGACAGAAGCTTGTAATGAGCTCCTCTCTCAGCATGTGTCCGTAGGCATGACAGTGTCCTCAAACAGAGCGACTTGGTAGGGGTGGATCTCTGGAAGGATCGATCATGGGTCCTGATCTCCCTGACCAGGTGCTTGAAAAGCAGTGGTGGACTTCTGGTAGAGGTGGATCTCCTTCAGAGCCACGGTGCTTGTCACAGAGAGGCCTCTTACTCTGACGGTGGCCGGGGCGCTCCTGTGGTGTACTCAGTGACGAGTTGCTTCCTCAAAGCCTTTTCTCTGGTGGATTTATTGCAGTCAGCGTGGTTCGGGCCATTTTCTCTGCTCTGGTCCAGTGTGAAATCCTGAATGCTGTATTAGCATGCTTGCACATACTTTTTTTTTTGTGCCTTCCTCCGGTGGATTTACGCTGGGCCTGCTTGGTTTGGGCCATTTTCTCTGCTCCGGTTATATGTGAAACCCTGACCAAGTGCTGGAGTAAAACTAAAAGATGGAAAAAGCATTTGTTCATAACTTTTGACTTTAAACCTGGAGTTGAGCTTGTGAAGCACTGTCATGCTGCTGCATCAGCCCCTTACCTCAATAACTGAATAACACCACTCTTACCACTCCTTATTCTATCTGCAGATCTTAGTCGTTTACTGGAAACCACACTGAGTCATGTTATTTGAGTAATTGTTTCAACGGTTGCATACTTATTGAAGTATTAAGTATTCTTTATGGGTTTCATGTGACGTCGGGGCAGTGGCGCGAATGACATACGTGGGACAGGACCGGACCGGACGTGACATACCCTGGCGGTGCAGTCTGCCGGGTATTTACACAGAGATATAGTAGAAGAAGAAGCGCTGTCAAAATGCCATCTTTTTGTGCGGTGTACACTCGTAGCAACCGCGCGAATAGAGAGAAAGACAAGAGTTTTGTCCGTGTTCCAACTGTGGTCTCATGTACATTTTGAAAATATCACTCGAATGAAGCGGGCGAGGTGGATCAAGGCTTTCCCAGATAAGCGCCTCCTCAGATTCAGATTCAGTTTATTTGCCATTTGCAGTAAAAAAAAACACATTGGAATACATTAGCAAAAGTCACCAGTGTGCATAGACAAATACAGACATAAAACAACATTAAAATACAAAAATAAAACAAATAAAGCAGTAAACAAATGTCACTGTGAAATCGATCGACTAAAACAGTTTCAAAACAAGTGCAAATCATTAAAGTGCTCTGTTCACACTGATAACAGCCTGTGGATAAAAACTGTTAGCGTAACGAGATGTCCTGCATCTCAGAGAGCGATATCTTCTGCCAGAGGGAAGAAGCTGGAACATGGCTTTCCCAGGGTGGCCAGAAGAGTCATTAACAATCTTAAGAGCTCTGTTTAAAAGTCTGGATTTATAAAGAACCTCCAGAACAGGAAGCTCACAGCCCACGGTCCTCTTTGCAGAGCGGAGCACCTTGTTTAAAGCTCTCTTTTCTTTATCTGTGATGTTTCCAAACCACACAGACACAGAACCAACAAGTAAACTCTCAATGGTGCAGCGATAAAAGTTAAGCAGAATCTTAGAGTTAGTGGTAAATTCTCCAAGTTTACGCAGAAAGTAGAGACGCTGACGAGCTTTCTTAACGACTCGGTCAGTGTTTTTAACCCATTTCAGGTCGTTAGACAGAGTTAAACCCAGAAACTTGCATTCCTCTACGATCTGCACCTGGGAGTTGTCGATTACGACAGGCAAATGAGAACTATTGCGACTGAAGTCGTAGACCAGTTCACATGTTTTCGATGCGTTCAACTGGAGGTTGTTAGTTTTACTCCACTGAACCACATTTTGTATCTCTGCTCTATAAGAGGATTCATCATTGTCACTGATGAGACCGATGATGGTGGTGTCATCAGCATATTTGATGATCAAGTTTGAGTCAGAGGAGGACACACAATCGTGAGTGTACAAAGTAAAAAGCAAAGGACTCAAAATACATCCCTGAGGAGAACCAGTGCTCACAGAAACAACATCAGAAAAACAGTCATTGATTTTCACTCTCTGAGATCTGTCAGTTAAAAAGCTAAAAATCCATTTACACATGGCAACACTTAAACCGAGAGACATGAGCTTTTCAATCAGTTTACCTGGGACAAGGCAGGCCACCCAAATAAAATGCAGCAATTTCTTTTGTTATTTTTTCCAATACTCTTTTGAGAAATATTTTTTAGTACTCCCTTAGAATTGAGTGTCCCCCTCCCGATTAAGACTGTTACAATAACCGTACACTGCACAGGATGAGAGCCGTTTGACTCCAAAACAGCGAAGATTTACAATTGACATGCTTTTCAATGGGAGCAAAACTGAGTTGTCCCATCTCTGCTCATTCGCCCCCTACAGGCCAGGTTAATGAAACCCAAGAATACATCCCAAGAATATATATACATATAATGTGTGTGTGTGTGTCAGTAAATAAATGCCTCTTTAAATAAATAAACCAAAACAACTAAAATGGAATGTTGCACTCTGTTGCTGTGGTAACATTTTTTTGCGTGGTTGTTGTTTCATTTCAAATTGCCTTGGTTTATATTGTCATTTTTACAGAGATATGCAATTGCAGCTATAAGAATACAATATGTTTTGTCAAAACTACTCAAAAAGGACAGCCTCTCAATGTCTCTACCCGCCTGTGCCTCGCTCCATCTGGATTCACCCATATGCACCAGTGGACGACTTTGACATTGTGTGCAAGAGTATCTGGCTGAAGGCAAAAAAGACCGACGAGGACATGGATACATGGCAGACACTCCATGCTCTCATTGCCCAACTGTACAGTGACAGCAGTGACAGCAGTGGCAGCGGTGGGAGCAGCAACAGCAGTGGCAGTGTAGAGAGGTACGCACACACAGTGATATTTTATGTCTAAAAATGATTGGTTCTCTTGATCTAGCTTAGGGCTATTTAGTGATTCATGTGGTCTTTATGCTTAGCATAAACTGTGTGATTTCATCCAATTCCATGCAATAAAAACAATAGCAACCGTTTTACGTGATCATAGCATGAACGCTACGTTTACATGCTTTGCGGTGATTAGTCCGGAGGACGTACCGCGGCCTACAGCCTTAAGGCCCTCAGCACGGTGATGACTGTCCTTTACAAACAGTGTATGCATGGCTTTGACGGATACACATTTTGGTGCAATCTTAAAATTGTTGTGCAACAAAAAAATTGGCAAAATCGGGCCAAATTTGCAGAGTGTATGCCCAGCTTTACTCTGGAAGAACACTGGAAGCACTTTCTTAGCACTATATTGGAGTGACTTTGGACTATACAAATATACCGGTACACTACGTACATTTCTGGTTAAACAACTATTATTTTTCACTATTCATTATTTTCAAGTCACTGCTGGGCTGGTAACATTTTGCCACAAAAACCCCCCTCAAAGTTGTGAAGGAGTCAGTCTGCATACGCATAAAAGGTACAAGAATTAATTTGCCATTTGCAGTAAAACCACATTGGAAAAACTGTGCAAGACTTCCTCAGTGTGCACACACCAAAGCTCTTGCCATGGCGCCATTTTTCCGACGCCATGTGAAAATTGATAATCACAGGTTGGGTTAGGGTTACTACTGTTATTGTTTGAAATCTGAAGTGATATCATACATGAATGCAAGTCACATAATTCATATTCAATTTAAACATCTCTCTTTTAAGTAATATTTAGTAGGTCCAGTTAATATGGATCCAAATGTGACATTGTCTGTGGTTCTTTGCTTTTCTAACACAAAGTAGAAGTTTGGGTCCTAGTCTTGCAATTTTTCAATATGGATTTATCATAGTTCATTTTAAGAATCCAGTCGTTCCCGGGACGGGACTTACATGCCCTAAATGAATCACTTTATATAAAAATCATTAAAACTTGGTCTATTGAAATTAAACATTTGTTTTTGATGGTCACTTGGGTCAAATGTTATGTGACAATAAAAATGATTAAGAGGATATAATTCAAGTGCCTCCTTTGTACCTCACATGTATACACAGAAACAAGCAGTTGGGCTTCAGCAAAGGACTAGAAGGTAGAGCTGAGATTGGGCCTGAAGTCCTAAATCAAACCCTAATCCTTACCTAATGCAAAGTCATCCATCTGTTTTGGAAAGATGTCATTATAAAGTTTCAAATTAGCACTGACCCTTAGCAAAAGAAATTCCAAAGCTTATAAGTGATGAAAAATGAGAACTGTTGCCATAATGATTGACAATTCACAACATATTATTTCATGTTTTTAAGCCGTACCATGAAGCACAAGCCAAAACCCGTGACCTAGCACAAGAATAACTGAGTGTTACGGCCCGTAGAATAACAAGCAGTGTTTTATCAGGCCTATAATTAACCTAAGGTCCTTCACAAGTACAGGGCATATCTGCGGGGGGTGGTTGTCCAACACCTTCGCACTCATTACATTAAATTTCAATCCAGACCGCAGCCCGGAGCATTATGAAGTATGTTGTTGTGTGGCCATTGCCCTACTGTACAATGTTAATTTACACCATCTGTTGAGCGGGCGCCTGGAGTCACCGTGACGTCTTGCTTATCATAAGGGTCTCGGCTCTCTCAGGGCCGTCTGTCCACAGGCTGCTGCTGCTGACTAAAAACAAGGCTCATTAAAAAGTCATGCATTGAAGGGGCGCTACACATACAACGGCAGAGTCATGCTCTCTCTGACTCATCCTCGGGCGAAGCGGGCCAAAATATTGTGCTCCACTGGTAATCTAGCTGAAAAGAGGGACCTGTCACACCGTCATGTCTTCATTATCGAGAGAAACAGAATACAGAAACCATCCACAGGGGTGTCCACAAAAAGAACAGAAGAAAACTGAAATGTTATACTGTATGTGCAGTATGGATTGTTGAATAGATGCTAGAATTTTATCTACTGTTTGCACTTGATTTAAGACGATTGGTCTGATCAATGAAAATGATACAACAAGGTTCAGTTCATTTTACTTTTGATTTAATCTTATTAGCAAAAAGTTTAACTTAATCCAAAAGATATACTTATGCTGAGGAAAAAATAATCTCAAGTTAAATCTACTCTGCTCAAAATATATTTATTTTTGTACTTAAAATCATGTCTATAAAATCAGAACTACACATAACAAATCACAAGCACAAAAATGTAGTAGCGTAGCAGCCTTTGCTTCTTTGATGCCATCTCTGGAACTCTGAAGTTCTCAGTATGAAGGCTGCTCCACTCAGAAAGTAAATTTTGGAAATCCCAGGGTCTTGGAGTTTGCGTCACAGTGACGCGTGTGAAATTGTAATTGGATAAATTAATACTTTTTACTGTCTAGTAAATATAATTCACAAAACATTCTGAAAACAGTACATTTTCAGAAGAGAGGCGCGCAAACACACAAGCACAACTTTTACACGTTCAAACAGGGGAGAAGCGCAGTGTAAACAAAGCTGTAGACTTTTGTTTCTGCTCTATTCTCCTCTCCCCTCCTCTCACCTCTTTCCCACAGTGCACTGATATTGACCTCATAACTCCTGTTCTCCTCAAATATTCTACATTTGAAACTGTCCACTTTCAAGGCAGCTGTTTGTTTGTTTAAATATATTTTCTTTCCCCTTATTTTTAGTGACATGTTGTCACACATGTGTAGTATACACCACTGTGGTGTACACTAGGGTGTGGAGCTCGGTCACACAGGAGGAGCTCAGAGAAGAGTCGCCACTCGTCCACTTCAAGATGAGCCAGCTGAGGGGGCATCTGTTTCAGACGCACCAGGAGGAAGCCCTGGGGAACGCTGGTGGGACTGTGTTTCATCCGAGGGAAAGGGCTGGAGAAAGTGTGCGTGGATTGGAGAGTCTGCTTAGACTGCTGCCTCTATGACTTGGCAATGGATAAAACGGAATAGAATGTTGATAAATTGATGGATGTTCTCTCATGAGACAAGCAAAAATGTCTTATCACAGAGTTTGTAGCATTTTATTTCTTTACATACAAATTTTTATCACTCAGATGTTGTATTTATGTTTGCCATGTTTTGCAAAGTTGATGTCTTCAATAGTCCCACATTTGTTCATAATAATAATAATAAGTGTTTTTGCTTGTTGTCAGGGATGAGCTGGATGAGCAGATGCTAACAGAGCCAGAGAACATGCACATGGATCAACCACAACAGCAGGAGGCACCAGTGCATCAGCAGCACATGCAAAAGCTTCAGCACGAACCATTGTCAAAAGACTCTCGTCTTTACCGCTTTTATCTCACCAACGTCAGACATCACGCTGCCGGTCCTGCTCCACCTCTGGGACCCTCGATGCAGACCGAGACAAGAGCCGTCGAGCAAGAGGAACATCACAAGGGCGACAGAAAAAGGGTCAGTACAGAAATGTGTCAGCTGGTCAAGCCATCATTATATTGATTATCTGAGATTATAATATACTTTATTGTACTCTATTCCAATACTTTTGGAATGTAGCATTCAATGTTGTTACTGAGAATCATTATTCCTAAACTGAATTTTAGTAATAAAGTTGTTAAATAGTTATATCCATGTTTGTTTGTTTTTTTTTTTTGTTTTTTTTTTTAAATGTTGTAGCCCATTGTTTGAAGGAGGAAAAAGTCCAAACCTGATGCTTATTACACACTGGAAAAAATCAGTGTATTTTCAGAAGTGTGAGAGTCAATGTTGTCACATTCTTGGGTTGGAGATGTTGAGTTTCCTGCAAAATGACACAGTGTGTCGTCAATTGGAAATGTTATTGTTGGATTTCAGTAACTTTTGAAAAGCTTTTTTTCCCAGAGAAAAAAATCTAAACTCTGGTTCACACTTTTGTCCATCCACCACATGCTGACTTAAAGCATAAATCATAGTTTTTGTCTATCCCAACAGCAAGGGTCTAGTAAAAGTAAAATGTTATGAACAAATCAGTCCACAACATGCTGTGTTCATTGTTTTAGAAAACACATTATCTTTCTAAACGTGTAAGAACAATCCCTGTGGGGATGAGCTCACGTTTCTGTCTGCAAAAGCTGATCTAAAAACATGACATAATGTACTTGCAGGTGAAAACTAGTGAGAAACGCAAAATGTTTTGAGATCTACCAACAAATTAGATCAATCTTTTTCAATCTTTTTTGTGGTTTGAGAGTCAGATACCCCAGCTTGCATACAGAATTGGGAAGAAACTGAAATATTTTGTTCTTGCTTCACAGGTTGCAGAGAAGCAGTTCATTGAGCCTTCAAAACCAGCCCCTATTCACCCACCTACAAATATAATAACTGATACAAACTGCAGCTTCAAGTCAGAGGCCACGACCACTGCCACTCCCTCAGCTCAGAAGAAGCACTCCCCGGTCGCCCCTAAACTGGCCCGGTACGCACACGAGAGCGAGGATGAGCTACACATCAGCAGCAGTGAAGAGAGCAGTGACGAGAGCAGTGACGAGAGCAGTGACGAGAGCAGTGAAGAGAGCTGTTTTAGTGAGGCCAGTTTACCTTCCGTCCGTCGTGCTGAGTCAGACACCGATGAAGACGAGAATGAGCCACCTGGGGATAAAGAAGAAACACCGAAACAAGCGATCAGTATAAAAATCACAGACGTCTCCCTGCGATGTAACATGGTGGCCTACAATGAGGAAAGGGCCGCTCAAAACCCACCCAAAAAGCTGATTCAGGGTGCAGGCGTGCTGTTGAAGACCAAACAGGACCAGAATAAACAACTGGATGAGACAAAATATGCACCGAGTGAGGACATGAAAACAAAAGGTAAATGATATCAGAGTACTTGTATGTAATGTATATGTTTTTTTTTTGTTGTTTTTAACCATACCATTATAGCAATACGTACAGTGGGTCCATGTTTATTGTAAGGATTGCCTTCGTAATAATAACCCGCAATAAGCAGCCAAATGTTTTAAGGCTGTAAAAACCCTTGTGATGAAAAACAAGTCAAAAATTGCTCAAATTTGGCTGAATGAATCTTAATTTGAGAACATTTTGATTGCCTTAAAACAAAGATTTGCCAATGGGACAAGATACTAGAAATGTCTCCCTTGGAATGAGAACAATTCTTGCAATAAGTCTAAATGGCTTGTCTCATTGGCAAATTATTGTGTCAATTTTTGCAACCCATACAGTACAAACACTTGTCGAACAACCTGAACTCACGACTGCTGTAGTGCGATTGTAGATGAGTGTGTTCACAGTAAAGTGTCAATTATCAGGACTTTAAAAGGTTTTAACTGAAAAACTAAAATTACTATCATAGATTGGAAAAAAAGAATTCATACACAGACAAATCAAAAATATAGTGTGGATAAAATCAAAAGGAAATTTTTGGCGACATTGTACACAACCTATATGAGCCTCTGAGTTGATCATTCTACTGTGACTTCAGTTACATAGAAAAGGAAACGGTCTGAAAAAGCGGCAGATGAACTCCCACAATATCAACATGGCTAACACAACAGAAGTAAATCACTCAATTTAAAAAGGAATCATTCACAAATCAATATAAATTTAAATGACCCTTAAAAAATGTGTAATGGACGTGATGGTTTCCGTAATATTTTCTCTGAATATTAAACTTGAGAAAGAAAAAAAAGGTCTAGTTTCACATTGAATTGGTTTACTATATGAAAGCAATCACTTTGTTTCTACTCTGTGTAAAAAAAACACTTTTACTAATATGTGAACATTATGTAACAAACTTCCGCGTTGCTCATTCTGTTAAAGCAAAACGTCTGTTACCAAAATAAACAGAGCCACTAGGAAACTTGACTAATGTTAAACAGTTTTCTTCTAGCAACTTCTAAACGAGAAAAGAGGTAGTTGGATCTATGACAAATATAATATATTCTCTGATTATTAAACTCAAATTTTTGACCTTTTGTCACAATTCTGTACCCTTTAGTGTGAACAAGCCCATATACAGGTATATCATACATGTTTGTGATGGGTCTGAGCCCTGCTGCAGCTGTCAAAAGCCGTGCATATACTTTGACATACAGCTGCAGAGCACACAAGACACAGGAGTACACAAGACACCAAAGTTTTAAATGAAGAAAACTGTCTTGTTATACTATAGCTAGCAGGTATACAGTATGATTTTGTTATAGCATAAAGGAAAAGAAGCATGCACAATTGCACCAAAAACAAATCTGTGAAATAGAGAGGCCATAAAAGGTGAACTGCGTTATTAGGAGGGACCACTGTATACAAAAGGAATTATGTCGTGTAATGTGACGCATGTATTGTGTCTTATGCTCTTTATGTGCAGTTCGGACTGAGGAGAGCAACATTTCAAGAGTAAAACTGCAGGATCTGAAAGAGCCTAAAACTGGTAATATAAAAGAATAACAGCGCTGTGTCAAGTTATAGGACAAATGTCTTTTTTCTTTGATCAGATGTCCCTAAACAAGAGAATGTGAAAACAACGACTACAAACAAGCCACAGCAATCCCACTCTCTCTGCGCTGGAGTCAAGAAATGTGTGGGCGAGAGCAAGACTCCGGAGAGAAGTCTCCAGAGTAAAACCGCTGGTCTCAGGCAGAAGAAGAAGGTCCCTCAGGAGGACGCTTTTGCTGTCGTGAAGAGTGCAGACTTTCCTCCTCTTTGTAACACGGTGGACGCCGAAAGGAAGGCGGCAATGAAGAGGCCGCTTGACCTCCAGGCTCATGGTGCATGGGAAGTTCCTCTGGTGGAAAAGCTACATCCAGACCAGAAGAAGACTGTTCCTCCAGGTTTTCAGAGAAGAAGTGATGAGCCAAAAACATTTGGTAATATGTTAAATTTTATGGGGCTACATAGGACTGAACGTGATAGAGAGGATTGAAAGTGAAAGCAAATACAACATATTTCAAGCTCCTATTTCTATGCAGCCGGATCCAGCTAATTCTAATAGGTTAGATTCATGTTATAACAGGTTCTATCTATTTCAGTTGGTCAGGTGCCAATGCAACTGGGAAAATGCGTTTCATTCTTTTGTTTGAACCCCCCCCAAAAAAAAACCATTGTGATTTTGCCCACTTCATGATCTTTTTTTAATTTCATTTTTTGACACCTTTAAAAAGTTAGATTTTAGGTGAATTGGAGGAATGATTAGATAAATTAAGTTTAAACTAAGAAAATAAGCGTGTCATTTCTGACATACAACCCTATTTTCATGAGACATGAACTAAAGAAAAGGATACAATACTGTATTACTTAACTGATTCAAATCTCCTCTTTCTTTCCCCAGAGAGCACCCATAGAGGGAATGTGACCAAAAGGACAGAAAACAAGCCACGTGTGAAACAGACTGAAGCTCAGGTCCCTCAGCCCCAGACTGCTGCGCCGCACAATGCTGGTGTGAAAGATAAGAAGAATGATAAGGCAGACAAACAAACAAACAACCGTCCATGTCTGAACAGAGATGAGATATCAAGCCTCGAATTCCCTCGACTTTGTAACACAGTGGCTGCCAAGCGAAAGGCAGCTATGGAAAACCCACACAAAAGCTGTGGTCCATGGAATATTTCAACATGATGAGAATAAAAGAGTATGCAAAATAATAATAATGGCATTTATCCTATATTGGGTGTGTTTTTTGGACTGGTATACTGGTTATGCTGTTATCAAAGTCAAGAGAGTGTACACAAGCTTTGTGTTAGATTTACCGCTAGAGAAGATGCAACTCTAATGTTATTTTGATCAATTCAATGCTTAAAATGTCTCAAAAGTGCAGACCCTTTCTTTTTTTTCAAACAGCCCAATGTTGCTGCTGTTCCATTTGCAGTGTTTACAAACTGTGATGTCACATGAAGGACATTTCCACACTGATTCTCAGCCTTAATGTGTGAGAGTTTACTCCTGTTTACTTCAGGCTCTTTTATAGAATTCCCATTCAGACAGAGCATTTATGCTGTCCATGCTGTCGAGGGCAGCATGTGGTACTTTATTGTCCCTGTAGGATCCTCAGTATCCTTCCTCTGTCACTAGGGCGCCCTGACACGAGCAGTGGTCACTGTACAGCGGTGCAGACCTGCAGGGAAACTGGAGATCCCACAGACTCAGGGAGAAACTCCACATACAACCTGCACTGATTAAAATAAAATCAATTCAGTCGACACACAGAGTCGTTGTGTTCATTTAGATGCACTGGCATCGTTTCCAGATGAGAACTCAGATGTGTCCAAAGGCTCATAAACTAGATTGAAAAAAAAAAACTCACTATAAGCTCCCATCCACCCTCTCTCCAACCCTCCCTTTTCACCCCCCCTAGCCTGGGTATAAATTAAACCAGGATTTTTTTTCTGGAGGAAGATCCTTCTGGGGCTCCTCAGAGGTCAAGTGTGCTGACCTCTTCTCCAAAGCTTGGAATCATATTGTACACAATTATCACATGTCTTTCATTGCTTTAATGTACCACAGACACTTGTTTGCCTCGTATAATTATACGATGCATAATTATAGCTCCATTCATTTTTGTTGTTATACTTTTATGTTCACTTCATCAATCGCTATACAGTAAATGAGGATCTGATTTTGGAAGATTTTAGGTTTCCTAATTCTAAGAATCTTGTGGTGGTCCCCCCTCCTCTCTGTTCCTGTCAGCTGTGAAACTCCTGTAGCCAACTACCAGCTGGCTCCTGGAGGTGAGAAAACTGCCAAGTCCTCCTCTCGAGCTGCTTCTGCTTTTACTATTCTAAGTACACCAGAAAACCAATGCTGATAAAATGTATACGTATTTAGGATTTTTGTGTGAAGAAAGTCCACCTGTCCAGTTGTTAGTAAGGCTGTTTGCTTTGGCACCAAAACCATGAATTATTGGTTATTGCCTCATCCCTCCCCATAAGATTTCATTAATCTTTGGGCAAGTTAATATTTTCCTTTGTGACAAAAATTAGGTAAATTGTGATAGACGCAGCAGGTTTGACTTTCTAATCTCTCCTTCTCCTTGAGACGTTGACTGGAAAACATGTATCCGGATGTGATTGATTAGTGTAAAAATGCAGCTTGGTTCATGATTACAGTGTAACAAGATTTCTTGAAATTTCTTTAGCTATCATACATTTTGAGCTGAGTATAGCTGCAAGCATTGGGTTTTTGCAGGAAGAGTTGAGGACTATGTGTACAAGGACTTCATCACTGGACAGAATTGCCACTTAAACAATGGAAATGGTTACTTGCCTCCACTAGTACAGTATGTGTATTGTGTGTGTGTATGTGTGTGTGTGTATATGCATGTCAGAGCTACCCACACACATTTCCACCTGCTCTATCTCCTTTCTGTGAAATACAATATTAGAATTCAGTCCACTATAGAATTCTCCCAGAGCAGTTGATTCAATAACAGTTTTGCTGATCCCTGTGGGCCCGCTGATGTAGAGAGTTAAAGAAAACACCTCTATTAAGCTCCGTCTCTGCCTCCTAGACCATGACACCAGCAGACAACATATTCGCATGTGAAGTCTCTCCCGCGTTGAGCACACTCTCTCGGCGCTGTGTGGGTCTTCGCTACAGATGGCGTGGGTGTAGCCAGCGCTCGGGCCAGTCCTGCCGAAGCCAGCACGAACCAATCAGTGACCCCCCAGGAGAAAGGCAGACCTTGTACACTGACCATTAACGGGAGCAAGTGCATTTTGTGATGGCATCGTTATTCAGTGCGTGTTTGAGAGAGATATACTGTTTCACATTAAGTATTTATCGTGATCATTACGGGTTGACCGCATTTATTTTACTACGTTTCAAAGGCTGAAGGCTAAAGGCTATTTGTGTGTTTACCACTAGTCCTTTTCTACATGAAAGGAAACGATATTTTTAGCTTGGAGATTTTATGTGTTTGCAAACAAGTGAAAACAGATATGCATTTGAAAACATGATAAAACAATCAGAATTATGAGCTCAAAAGCTGCATGGAATACTCTTATGAGTGTTCTTATGATTTCCAACATAGTTATTGTGTGATGTTTACGTGGAATTTTGTCGTCTGAGTCTGAGTGTAAGTTGTAGAATGAGTGAGTCAGGCTTGATGTTTGTGCTTATTTTGTGTTTTTTACTCTTTTTGTATGACATGTTTGGAATTACTAATAATTCCTTCATGTAACTCGTGTCCAACACTCATTATAGCTGTGCGGCTTTGCCAGTACAAACTGTAATAATAAATAATGCAGAGATGCCCAGACTTCCCTATCCATGCACACTTTATTCTGCTCACTCAGGGGAATCTTGAGGCATTCCCAGGCCTGCTTAAGCTCTACTTCAAGCTCTATCCATGTGATTGAGCTCTTCTCCCTCTCTCTAAGGGAGCGCCCGGTCACTCTGCGGAGAAAAAACATTTGGACCGTTTGTATCCGCAATCTCTGCCACTTGCGCTTGAGCTTTTCATGACCGTAGACTAACCGGTAAATCAAGAGCCCTTCCTTTCGGCTCAGCTCCCTCTCACCACTACAGTCCGATACAGCTCTGAGAGCAGACGCTGCTCCCTCGCAGTCCAATACAGCGATCGCATCACCGCACACGCTGCACTGCTCCATCGGTCATACTCGCACTTCATCCTTCCTCCACTTTTGGACAAAACCCTGAGATTTTTGACCCAAGGCACTGCAGGGCAACACACCTTTTTTCTAGTTGAAAACATGGCCTTGGATTTGAAGGAACTGATTGTCATCCCAGGCATTTTTGGCTGCCAACTGCCAAAAAAATATCCGTGGTGACCAGCATAAAACCTCAAACACAAATGTGAAAAGGCAAAGTGTAAAAAAAAGAAAAAAAAAATGGTTTCACCTTGTTTGTACATGACTCATATGGCCTAATAGAGAGGAAATCTGTCACTGATAATCTCACTGGTGATGGGTGGATTTTTTCCCCTTTTCATTTATTACTATGGGGAGAAATCCATACATCATTGTGGCTTTAATGTTGATATTATATTCACATCATGCAAATGAGCCCATGCCTGATGTGTCACATGTCTGCAGCAGTGATGCGTATCCCTGCAGGGTTTGTGACATCAATTAATCCACATATTTTTTGCCCTGAGCTCAGACAGATTACTGGTTACAGTGGGAAGAGTGCTGGCATGAACAATATAGTGACATTTTAACAACAACAGGCAAGGGAACAAGTTGGTTTTTGAAAAGGGATCTAACGGTAACACATTGAAAAGGTTAGACTGCTCTAAAAATGACAAGCCATTAACACTGCGCTTGCTGCAAGTTGAATACTCTTTGACTAAGCATTCTTCTCAAAATCATGTCTCTACCTTTTATATTGATTTAAAACGCTGACACAAAGTACTTCTCTATTAAGGCTATTTAAAGAATGCTTTTATTGTTGAGGTGCACGTTGTTTCCAGTGTTAGCTGCCATTATGCACTAAATGTCCCAAGAGAGAAACTGATAAACTAGTAATTAGCAGAGTTGATGTTGTTCAAATCAAAAGTTGTCGGACATCTCCAGGACAATTTAAAATAATCATCCCTTTGAATTGGCAATTAAAAAAACTGGAACATGTTCAACTCTTCTTGACTAAACCGACACGTTTTAATTTGTATCTAGTTTGTACTGTATGAAGGTTAAACGTTTCAGTAATTCACTTTTGTTTGTGAGATTATTTGTGGAAGATATTTTACAAGTCAAAACTTGTCTTTATTTTCATTTTTGTTTTTAAGTAATTGGACATCGAGTTCACTGTTTGGCTAATTGGTTTGAATCATATCAGATTTATTTTAACTTAAGCAAACTGTATTTTGGTTCCTTGTACAGTTTCTTAAATGCCTGTTTTATAATTACTCATATTTAAACATTTTGGTGTTTTAACAGAGCTGACCTCAATAAAGGATACAATCTCTGAACACAGAGCTGTGATACAAATATCTGAAAAGAACCGTTTGCAATATTTAGTGGATGCAACTTTTAATATAGCGTAAAAGTAAAGTACCTTTACTCATGTTACCAAAAAGTAATCTCTTTAAGGAAAGACACGTATATTTGTAGTGCACAGTTCATACACAAGGCAACTCAAAGTGATTAACAAAACATGAAAAGAAAAACACACAAGTATATTGAGAAAGTGACAATACAATCCATCAGCTAAGATTAACTGTTTTTAACTTGGAGTGAACATTGACAATAGAAATCTGTCTCATATTTTCAAGAAAAATCCAAACGTATGAATAAATGAAATTCTGCCTCTGCATGTTTAGTCCTGACCCTGAGCAGCAGCAGGAGGCCGGTCGCTGTTCTCTTCAGAGTCCGACTTGGTCATGAGACAATAACATCTCACGAATACTCTTTGGTGCGAGACTTGTTCACAAGCAGAGCTGCTTTAAAGTGTATTCTCTGAGCCACAGGAGGCCAGTATTTAACAGCATACCTGTGGTGGCTTTTAGTTCCATCCACTTTAATATCATAAGTCTCCAAAACAAACTCGTCCCAAGAACATCAATAGCTCCCTGATCTGTTACATTGTAGACTGAGCACTTTGATACTCATCTTTACAACTTAAAGCTGCACTAACTGACTTTATTTTTGTATTCATTACGAAAACACTATCCATATCCATGTAGTGCATTGGGATATACGTCCTTTTGAAGAAAAAGTAGCACAGATTTGTGCTGGCGTGACATTATATTTTAGATCGAGTTTTGATGAAACAAGGAATAGAATGTGTTTTGGGTCGCAGATTGTGACCAATCACAGCGGACCACTGGCCCCCACTTTCTTGAGATATCTACAGGTCCGTTAGCATAGACGGCTGAGTTAGCACAACAAGCCGAGGAGCTAACCTGAAGCTTCCTTGTCTTTGTCACCGGTTACTGCTTACTAGAGTTTCGTTCGGGCCCGAAAAATGAAGCCCGACCCGGCCCGAGCCCGCTAATGTTAAGCCCGAGCCCGTATAAGCCCGACCAATGAACGCTGTATAGCATGCCCGAGCCCGACAGAACCCGACACATCTGATTTCCTTGTTGTACGCACTCACCTTCCAATTGCAAGTTTAGTCTCCACTTTTGAATTTGTTTTGTCTCCACTTGATCTATTTCTACTATTGTTCCTGTTCGCTGTTGACCACAGCATGCAGCAGGAGACACCAGGTGATTGCGTTCACGGCTCGCTGCTGCTGTAGGACACGCTGGTTACAGTGTCATTAATATATTAACTTTTTTTAATAACTTGTTGTCAATCAACGGACATTGTTATTAATATATATATGCATATCATTATGTATAAAAATCATTATCATTATTATGATCATCTTCACAATAAAAAAGAAACATATGTTTAAAAAAAAGAAGCCTGAGCCCGGCCCGAACCCGACAGCTGAGCGCCAAAATGAGGCCCGAAAAGCGAAACTCTACTGCTTACACAGCGAAACAGCCATCCAAAAGAAAGTCTCGTTCCTCCGCGCTTCCCGGTTCTATCGTTCTATGGTCACGCCATCCACGTGCAAATCCATATGCATGTATTATCCATATTGGGAGATGCAAGCTCCGTAAACAACAGTGGGGGGTATGCGGTAGTGGGGGGCAATAGCTTCGTGGGTGAGGGGAGGGGAGCAGAAAGAGCGATGCCAGCAAGTCCGCGGTTCAAAATCCCAAAGTCAGTTAGTGCAGCTTTAAAGCAAGAACAGTCAAATGCAATTCTTGAAATGAACTGAATACCTTTTGTCTGCTGGTTGGACATGGGATATTGCGGGATTAAAACACATCTGCCCATGGAACGGCCATTTAAAGTCTACTTCATGCCATTAACCTGTTTTGGATGCCAATACACTCAATTTTTGTTAATTACTTCAAAGCCCCTGTATAAGTCATATGTTGTTTCACATATTCTAAGCAGTTGAATATTGTTTTTCTAATGCATCAATTCGGTGTACTGTAGTTACAAGAATTAAAATTAATTTAGGCTCTAATAGTACAGGTCCATTAAGCCTTTTCATATTTAATGTATTTCAAAAATCATTTTCAATCCTCCCTGATTAGTTTGAACTAAGTGATCACCATGTACTTCAGACGGAAAATCTTCGAGAGCTCTTGTGAAAGAATTTAGTTGCAGTTTAAGAACTGTGTGTCCCTTGATTCTTGAACAGATAATAATAATTGTCCTTGTCCTTTTTTTTTTTATAGCCGGAATTCAGTAATCCAATAAATCTGATTCCATACATCTGCAATAAGCAATTTATCTGGCTTAGTCACATGTTTCTCCAAGACCAGAGAAAAAGCCAGCGGTTATACTGTAGGATGCCCTCTAAGGTGTGTCCTTTTGGCCCTGGCTCCACTCTGCATCCCATATAATTACAGAAGCTCCAATGGCGGGTAGGAGCCAGTGCACATGGGTCAGAGTGTCACCGGGCACGAGAGTGAGACAGCCAATGCAAGGCAGTAATAAAAGAAAATGTCCTCCAATAAATCTGCTGAGATAGATGTCAGCTCAGGTTTGTGTTTTCATGTATGAACATTGATAGATTGTAATCATAGAATACTTACTTCATGAATTTATATAATAATAATAATAATAAATCTTTATTTATAAAGCACTTTTCAAAAACAATGTTTACAAAGTGCTGCACAGCATAATAAACAATACATCAGTCATAATACAAAGTTAAAACAATAAGAATGAATGC